CGACGGCAGCCTCTATTTATAGAGACGAGGCGCGCGCTGATTGGCTGCCGCTAGAATCCTGCCTGCCGCCGGCGCCGGGCGCTCTGCGCCGCGCGGCTTGTGTTTCTTTGTGGTGAAAAAAGTGTGTTTTTGGAACAAAACCTGTGTCCGAGACACCCCATTTCTCTCACAGTTGCTGGTGAGGGAAGGTATTTTCGTCCTGCGGCGTTTCCTTTCGCTGGGTTTTGAAATAAGCTTTAGGTAAACCTGTAATCTGTGAGTTTTAGGATTGCAAAGACCTGGGACGGTTAGTTTTTTTATTTTTCCTTTTAAATTAAAACTATGTTGCTGAGAGAAGCGTCAAAATGGCGAGTGTTACGTGTTTCTGAGAGGGTTTTTGATCGAGATAGTGCAGAATGGAGCTTATAAAAAGACATTTGGGTAAGGTAAATTGGATTCTAAAAGGAGCAAGTAACACAGGTGGACACTAATCATGCTGTATGCAGTTTACAAACTGCTTCCCATCCCACGACTTCATCTCTTTAAAATAATGAATCCTTTAGCCACAGTACTCTCTTTAACTTTACATGGAACCTAAGAAAAAAACAGTATAAAGAAAGTTCTCCAGGAACACGCAAGTGAAAAATGACATCCTTAAATTAGCTGATGCATTTGACATCATTAGGTAATACACAGAAGGTTTGCTTTGTTTTCTGTATTTCTTTTCATATTTTGAAGAATTATATAACAGTCTTTCTCCAATATAACTCTTTCGAGTAAGCACAACAGGTAAACACCTTTGTTCTTGTGCTTATATTGAAAATATATTTTTTTTTGTGCTCCAGTGTTATTGCACCTTAAGATGTATTGTCATTGCAAATTGACAGCCGAGTGATAATCTCAATACGTGATGTGTGTGTATTCCACGGGATAAATATCATGTTAGACTGCAGGTGTTTTTGTTATTTAAACGAGAGTAACAACGTGTCCCAGTCTCTCTTTTGTATTGCTCAGACAAGGCCACAGTTGAAGAGATACCGCGACAATAGTTACTTAATATCCCCCGAGTGAATGCAGAGAAACAGGATTAAGCATTTAAGTACCCTATACTAAATTAAATATCAGCATCACATGATGTTTGCAATGCTTTGTAAAGCAAATCATGCAATTTCATTTTTGCATTTGTTAAACAGGTTTCTTTCTTTTTTTTTTTTTTTTCCCTGCATCACTCCCCTAGTCTGCAAGAGGACATTTCAGGCTCTAATGCCTGAACTAGTAATATGACTGGCTGGGTCTTAATAACGTCCACCTGAGGACATTGAATAATAATGTGTGTTTCTATTGGTTTACTGTCTATATATTGTATTCTTTTTGATATAGATATTATGAGGGATTTCTGTTTTATGTTTCCTAGAAAATATGAAATGTGTCATTCACAATGTACAGCAAAGTAGCGAATCTTCCACCTTTCAGCAAAAATATTTTATATATAACACTATATATATAATATGTATATGTTTTATATATATATAAGTATTTTTTCCTGATCATGAACATGAAAACAAAGAGCAGGTGGGCTAGTGCCAACATACTACTGGATGTAAATTTACAGCAATATGTGAACAGTAGAACAACAGGTTAAGAATGTATCTGGGAAGGGGCTACTGGACAGACCGTGGTGAAAATACAGCGTAAATCCATCTTCCGGTTTCTTGATTGCTAATACAGAAGAGGCCAGAAATATTACCAAGGTGAGAAGACAGGATTCAGCTGTTGCTGTATATGTTGAATGGGGACATCATGGGAGAAGGACACCCCATAAGAGTAGCAAAGATTCTGCTCTTCTCCCTCAGACCTGATCCTCCTTTCTTTCCTCTCAGCAAGTTTAGTTTCTCTGTTGAAGAAACTGCATAAAAAACCAATGAGGCCTAAGAAGCTTTCAGAAAACTGTTTGTGGCCTGTAGATCGCTGAGACAGAACTTTGCTCATTCCCATAGTCATGAATTTCTCTTCACTTGTTAGGAAATCGGAGCCTTGCATATAGATATACCATGTGTCACGTATACATACATATAGGCTCATACCTGTATGTGCATGTCTTTATTTTATTTAGATATGTGTCAGCTCATATTTTGAACTGCTACTGGGAGGTGAGAAGAATTTCTAATGGCAGGCGTGAGGAGTGTACAGCTTTCTAATTTCAAATTTTATTTATTTATTTATTTATAGGACAAACTGAATTTGTACGAAAGAAATGTCTTGGGATGGTTTTGACACATGCCCACAAATACACAGTACAATATGGGGTATGATAGGACATCCTAGCGATTATTTCAGATTATTGAAAAAATAGTAGTCTAGTTCTTTCATCTTATCTTCCAATAATAGAATTATCCCACAGCAAGCACCTGACAGCCTTTTGGCAGAGGGGAAAATTTTATGAAACTGTTAGTTTTTAAGGTTTATCACAGTAAAGATGAACACAATGTATTCGAGAGGGTCTTTTTTTCGGGAGAACACCTGAACAGCGAAATGGCATCACATACAAGAGCATGACAACCAGAACAGAAGGCTGTTGCATGGATTTGAAGCCGGAATTTGTGCTGAGGCTGTATTTCAATACGGCTGTCCTTGTTGGCCTCACTGCTGATTGCAGTTTGATAGTTAGTGTACAATCTTACCTCTGAAGTGGAGCTGTTCTCTTGTCCTCCAATATTTCGATCATATATGGAGGATACTTGTTTTGTACTTTATCTTTTTTTTAATTGCAGTTTGATTTGGGCTCGGGAAAGGGAGAAAATGTAAAGAGATCAAAGAGATCTTGCGAATATTATCAGATGGAGCAGAGGAAGGAAGAAATATCTTTTTTTCAATGTGCCTTTTAGTTCTTCTAATGCAAATTTATTTTAAAACAAACAAGCAAACAACAACAGCAAACTTTAACGTCTGATTTCATGAGGCATCTTCTAGGAAAGAAAAAGAAGGCACTAAGCATTTTTTTTTTGTATCGATATGAAACTTTGAAACATGACGTTCATTGAAAGACAGGATGACTTTCGCATTCTTTGCGTCTTTTCCTCAAAAATACTAAGCAAACACAGTATTTATGGTAAGCAAATAAGTAAACAAACGAGCAAACAAGGATAGAAAGGCCTGAGCTTAGATGTAACTGAAGCTAAGGGGTAGCAATCAAGCGGACAAGATCTTGAGAAACATTTCAACAGGTTACCTTCAGGTATGGCAAAGGGAAAGCAAGAAGAAAGGCCCTAGCCCAAAGCAGCGTGGTCGCCTGGTGGGAACAGCGACTGGATGCAGAGGCAGAGCTTGCACGAAACTTGCCCGTAGGCAGCTAACTCGGTGAATGCGGCGTTTTTTGCAGAACCGGTTTGCGTCTCCTGAAGCAGCTTCTCAGCATCTGTGTCTCGACCTGGGCTAGGGAGATCAATTCTGTGCTAAGATCCAAAAACACCAGGAGTTAGGAGAGGTCTGGACTGTCTTGGTACCTCTGTGGGATGTTTCTGTGTAAAATAGAGCACTTCATGAGAACAAAGAGGTGCTAAAAACCCTGCTTTGAGATATGCAAATTCTTTGTCTAGGGTACTTTCTCACTTTCTTTGACCGTAGGTTAGTCGATTTGCCCCCCGAGGCACATAAGAGGTCAGTTTGCTCATTTTCAGCTCTCCAGACAGGTTTAGGAGAACGTGTCTAGAAAATCATCAAACAAGCCTTTTCAGATGGTACATTTCTGGGTGCATATGTTTGTGGCTACCAGGTGAAGCTTACCAAGCATGTCCCAAAGGAAAAGTGATTTATATTGACCGGACATTTTTAAACTAAGTCTTCTGGTGCTGCTTTAAACTATT